CACTCGATTCTTAAGGACGTACTGCTGCTGTGGTGAATGGCTCAATTTTCAACCCATCAAAATGACGGACGGCCTTAAATTTTCCCCGTCCAGTCTTAAAAAAAACCATCAATGATTGTCCGCTAATATAACCTCTTCAGGAACAGAAATATAAAAGATGTAAATGTTTATCCAGTCTTGTTTAACTTAGATTTCGTTCCAAAAGACAGGCTTTGTTATCAGAAATCACCCCTCCTCCTCCCGAGTCCTCACAAATAAAATATGAAATCTCGGGTTTGCTTCGGGCTCGGGCCTGCAAATCAAGTTAAGTGATCGGGCTCATGCACCCTTTGTGGCTTCCGTTCTCGCTGAAATTTCGAAATCTCAGAGATATGGCGAGGCCACGAGAATGCGAGGCGAGGTTATTACTCTTGTGGCGACGTCACTCGAGCTAGTCCGCTGCTCTCGACTGTGCATGCGTCAGCACGAACATGTACGCAAGCGCGTCTTTTGATTTCAACCAATAAGCGCTGACGCAACGACGTCACACACCCGACGTCACACACAACAACAGCTAAGCTAAGCTAGCCGAGACGACACTCGAAGTCGGACGGACACGTTTTTCTGCCAATCTGTGTTTCCCTTTTTGTCCAAATATATTTTTTACAACTGTCTTGTCCAATGTGTCTTTTATTCTTTCCACTGGGGTTTAGCAAATGTGTTGATAAAGAGACGAAAATCTCTACTGTTACTAGTGTTAGTGTCTCAACATGGCTACGCTCGTGAAAGCAAAACAACGAACTCAAACGCGTCTTCGTTCAATGTTGTCAACTAATATCCGGATTAATTTTCGGCAAATTTTCCTCAATTCTCCGGAGAGATTTTCATAAAAATGTGAAAAACCCAGAATTCCGGGAAAATCCGGAGGACTTTCATCTCTGCATAAGCCTCCAACTTTTCGTAAATCTCGATGAAACATACAACAGGGGCTGGTTCGTTAAAACTTCCCATGGGGCGCTCTGCGCCACTTTTTAAAAAGCGGGTCCATAGACATAAAATATTTTGCCACGTTTGCAGTGATAATTTTATAGTTTGAGCCCTGCGAGTCCCAGGAACTCGCTGATCAGAAAAGTATGAGTCCCATTATGCTATTAGAGAGTCCCAAATTTCGAATTCTTAAATGGTCTACTGATTCAATTGCATATGATAATAACACAAACAACAACCATATGTAGTCAAACCTCAGTTTTCGAACGTCTCGGTTCTCGTAAAATTCGGTTTTCGAACAAAAATTCGAGTTTTTTATGCCTCGGATGACGAACAAATTTCGGTTCTCGAACTAACTGAGCGCACTTGAATGCGTCACTTTACTCCTCTCGGCTTTACTTCCTGTGTAGCGTCCATTGTGAGCAGACGTTTTTGTATTGTTCAATAAAGATTTTTTTGAAAAAAAGCAGACGTGTTTGGTGAGACGCTTCTGTTAGGGAGAGTGAAACCCTCCTCTTTTCAGAATGGTTTGCCCCAGCAGCACGGGTGAAGTGCGTGAGTTTGTTTACGGCCGGCAGTTTTCAATACAGCGGCACATAATCAACACTCTGGTGTCCTGTAGCGTCCGTTGTGAGCAGACGAGGTTGTATTGTTCAATAAAGATTAAAAAATAAATAAATAAATAAAAGCAGACGTGTTTGGTGAGACGCTTCTGTTAGGGGGAGTGAAACCGCCCTCATTTCAGAATGGTTTGCCCCAGCAACACGGGGGACGTGCGTGCGTTTGTTTACGGCCGGCAGTTTTCAATACAGTGGCACATAATCAACACTCTGGTGTCCTGTCGCGTCCATTGTGAGCAGACGAGGTTGTATTGTTCAATAAAGAATTTTTTACGAAAGCAGACGTGTTTGGTGAGACGCTTCTGTTAGGGGGAGTGAAACCCCCCTCTTTTCAGAATGGCTTGCCCCAGCAGCACGGGTGAAGTGCGTATGTTTGTTTACGGCCGGCAGTTTTCAATACAGCGGCACATAATCAACACTCTGGTGTCCGGTGTCTCATTATCATGCAATCATCATACAGAAACAGCTTCCTCGTGTAGCGTCCATTGTGAGCAGACGAGTTTGTATCGTTCAATAAAGATTTTTTAAAAAAGCAGACGTGTTTGGTGAGAACTATGTAATATCGACTGTTATTTTTGCATCATGTATCATGGCACCAAAGAAAGCGAGTGGAAGTGGTAAACCTGGTGAAGAAAAGAGAAAAATAGTGCGCAAAACTATAGAATTGAAGAAAGATTTGATCGCGAAATATGAGTCAGGTGTGCGTGTGTCTGTGTTGGCGAAGGAGTTCGGGAATGCCGAAATGCCCCGCCTACTGCCTGATGACAGCTGGGATAGGCACATGCCCCATGAGAGAGAGAGAGAGAGAGAGATGTTCAATTTTTATGTTACTATGTTAATGTTAAAATAGGTGAAAATAAAACATATTACAGTTTGTTTGTACAGTATTTTACATATTACCTGCTCTCCTATTACATTTGTACAGTTTATGGTGTGAAATTGTCAAAAAAAGTGGTTTAAAAAAGTTTTCTTGACTTGGAACGGATTAAACAATTTTTACATTGATTCCAATGGGAAAAATGGTTTAGGGACACAGGTTGAAAAACACTGGTCTAGAAAACAACACTTAAGCATGAGCAGCAAACAAGGTCAGTAATCTGACAGAGACTTGGCAATTAATCTGTCCTTAAATGGTTTGCTGATGAACGTTGACAGCAGGTGTGCACGCTGGAGGGAAGGCCCTCATGACATTTTTTGGCCTTTTTTAGAGGTCACATTTTAAAGAACTCCTAGAGAATTTAGATGAAGGAGGGGGTCGAAATGGATGGAGAGTTGTTGGTGAGGGTTGTGCCTGGGGAGTAAGCTGGAAGCCAACGTTAACAAGTCTATTCAGTTGGTCACTGAACTTGGGAGGGAGAGTGAGTGAGTGAGTGAGTGAGTGAGTGAGTGAGTGAGTGAGTGAGTGAGTGAGTGAGTGAGTGAGTGAGTGAGTGAGTGAGTGAGAGAGTGAGAGAGTCTACTTCCATGTTATTATACACAGCCATAAATTTGTTTTAAAGGTGTACTGCATGTTATGTTGGTCAACTGTGATGTATGACTTACAGGAAGGAGTTGATTCAGTCTGGAGTACTTAAAGCAGAAAAGGACCTCTACCTAGGCAAGCTGGCACTCACCAAATTCCCCAAGAGCCCAGAGACGTGGATACATCGGTAAGATCTACCTATCTTGTGTCATGTGATTATTACAACCAAACACAACTCCAATGAAGTCGGGACATTGTGTTAAACATAAATTAGAACACAGTGATTTTCTAATCATGTTCAAACTATATTTTATTGAACTACACTTTCATTTCAGTCATTTTATGGTCAAATGGCAAAACATTTTTGTTTTTAGCAAATTATAATTGCCTTAAAATTTTATGGCTGCAACATCTTCCAAAAAAGCTGGGACTTGTGAGAAAAAAGGCTGTCAAAGTTGAGGAATGCTCATCAAACACTTGTTTGGAACATCCCACAGGTGAACAGGCTAACTAGGAACAGGTGGGTGCCATGACTGAATATAGAAGGAGATACCCCGAATTGCCCAGTGATTTTACAGGCAAAGACAGGGCAAGGTTCATCTCGTTGTGAAGAACTGAGTGATAAAATAGTTTAGGGACATTGTTCCTCAATCTATAATTGCAAGGAATTTAAGAAATTATTGCATGTAAGCTGCAAGACTGAAACTAACATTGAATGCCCGTGACCTTCCATCCCTCAGGAGGTACTGCATCACAAACTGACATCAATGTGTGAAGAATATCACCACATAGATTCAGCAACACTTCAGAAAACCACTATCACCAAATAGAGTCCGGCGCTACATCTGTAAGAGCAACTTCAAACTCAAAAGCCATTTATCTACTTACTACATGCAGAAATGCCGCCGGCTTCTTTGGGCCTGCGCTCATCGAAGATGGACTGAAGCAAAGTGGAAAAGTGTTCTGTGGAGTGGCGAGTCCACATTTTAAATTGTGGACATTGTTTCCTCCAGGCCAAAGAGGAAAATTACCATGCGGACTGTTATAAATGCAAAGCTCAAAAGGGATCCATCATCCGTTTTCCGAACCGCTTTATCCTCACTGGGGTTGTGGGGGGTGCTGGAACCTATCCCAGCTGTCTTCGGGCAGTAGGCGGGGGATACCCTCAACCAGTTGCCAGCCAACTCCACACAGGAAGGCCGGAGCCGGGATCGAACCTGTGAGGTGCGCTAACCACTGCCACCGTGCCGCCTCTCCTCAAATCCAAAAACAATGTTTTTAATATTGAAACTCGGGGTAAACATTTTCACAAGCACACCATCCCATTCTCTTGAATGAGGAGCTGCAGCCGAGGCTTCCTTCAGCGTAAGCCAGCTTCAATGGCCACGGCATCACCTCAGGGTCGGCCTGTTTTAAGCAGATGCAGAGAGTGATGATGACCGAGCTGTGCCTTTTCCTTTTTAACTGTACTTTTATCTCAACATCGCGGATGAGATGGCGCACGACCAGCATGACCTCCGTGGATTGTTGTTGGGTCTGGCAGGTGTTGTAGTCTGCGGAGGCAACATAAACAAAAACCGACCAGTCGCGCTTCCCCGAACATTTCAACATTCCAGATGAAATAGCCGACCAGCCGGATCTATGTCGTTGTTGTCAGGTTTGGTCGGCGGCAGAGGCAACATAAAGAAAAGTGAGGCAGCCGAGCTGAGCTATATTGCTCAGCTCAATACCATTACAGTGAAACTCCTCTACAACGAAATCATGGTTGCAGCAAGAAATTTTTCACAACAGGGGGTTTTTCACTGTAGCAAATTTGATCTCAGATGTAAGCGCGCCCACACACACACACACACACACACACACACACACACACACACGCACACACACACACACACACACACACACACAAACGTATGTGTACACGCACACACAAACGTATGTGTACTCTATTTTTATTCCAATAGTGCACAGGTATGAGCACACACTTATTCGACACTTAATATAGTCAGTGTAGAAAGAAAAAAAAGGGAAAGAAATTGCTAAATTTCGATTACGATCAGCATTCACTTTCACTTACATCAATTTCTTGGATAATATCTTTTATTTTGCTTCCTCCGTCTTTCATTTTGATCACTTTTCCCCTCTCTTCCAGCGTCAGAGCTCTTCTTGTCTTTGCTGCTTGACATCCAAAGGTCCGTTTTGTAGCCATTTTAGCAATGCAACATTCATGCTGTGTCTGAATCTCACAATAACAAATACTTCCTGGACCCGGTGGCTTTTCTTTCCACCATCTCACTGTCTCTAACTCGACCTCCCCTCGATCGCCACCCAAGACAGCGTTGCTCAGCTGATGTCATGCAATG